AACTTTTATTTTAAAACTAGAGGCCCGGTGCATGGAAATCGTGCACTGGGGGGTGGGGGGGAATGTCCTTCAGCCTGGCCTGTGCCCTCTCGCAGTCTGGGAACCCTCAGGGGATGTCTGAGTGATGGCTTAGGCCTGGTCCTGATGCACTCGCCAGCCATGAAATGGCTTCTAGCTGAGCGGCGCTCCCCCTGTGGGAGTGTACTGACCATTAGGGGACAGCTCCTGCATTGAGCATCTGCCTCCTGGTGGTCAGTGTGTTTCATAGTAACCAGTTGTTCTACCATTTGGTTGATTTACATATTAGCCTTTTATTATATAGGATAATTTTCAGACTTAAAAAAGGTTGCAAAGATAGTACAAAAAAATTAATTCCCATACACCCTTTTACCTAGATTTCCTAAATGTTAACATACCACATTTGCTTTATCAAACTCTGTATGTGCAAATGTAAACACACAATTATTATTTCTCTGAAACACCTGAGAGTAAGTTGCAGATATATCCCTTTAACCCTAAATACTTTAGTTCTTTTCATTACAATAAGCATGTTCTTTTATGTAACACAGTAAAATTAAAAACAATTTGGCTCAGTGGATAGAGTGTTGATCTGCGGACTGAAGGGTCTCAGGTTCGATTCCTGTCAAAGGCATGTACCTTGGTTGCGGGCACATCCCAAGTAGAGGGTGTGCTAGAGGCAGTTTGATCGATGATTCTCTCTCATCGATGTTTCTAACTCTCTATCCCTCTCTCTTCCTCTCTGTAAAAAAACCAATAAAATATACTTTTTTAAATAAAAAATACATTAAAAAAATAAAATCATCAGAAAGTTATTACAGTCATGTGTTGCTTAATGACGGGTATGTGTTCTAAGAAATATATCATTGGGTGATTATATCATTGTGGGAGTACCACAGAGTGCACTTACAGAAACCTAAATGGTACAGCCTACTATACACCCAGGCTATATGGGATAGTCTTTTGCTCCTAGGTTACAAACCTGTACAGCACATTACTGTACTGTATACTATAGGTAATTATAACACAATGGTAAGTATTTATGTATTGAAACACCTACATATAAAGAAGGTTCAGTATAAATATGGTATAAAGGATAATAAATGATAAAACTGTATGGAGCATTTAACAAGAGTGTAGCTTGCCGGACTGGAAGCTGCTCTGGGTGAGTCAGTGAGTGAGTGGTAAGTGAATGTGAAGGTCTAGGACATTCACTATTGATAGCAAAGTTGTCAATGCTACTCCATGAACAGGGATATGGGCTGGGATGATTAGAAATAGTGAGGTGAAACTGGGTGTATTAGGTGTAGATCACCCTAACAGTCACTATCAAAGGGAGTGAAATGTGGCCTGAGGATCAGTAGGAATAAGAAATCAAGACAGACAGAGACATAAAGGATCTTAGGGGCTTATCATGGCTATGTGGTTTGGTTATTGCGTGTTTGAGCAGTGGTCAGATTAAGGACTTTGTGATCATCATAATAAAGAGTGTACTTAACATGGAAAGGCTGTAGAACTGAGGACTCAATGTTTTGAGATAGGAATTTGTTTTTGGTTCCATTGACCCCATCTGGGACAAAGAGCTCTCTCTGGCAAGGAATTGATGGAAGAAATAACACTTAATGAATGCTTTACATCTTTACAATCCAAAAAATATTTCCAAAATACAGGGATAGGCTCTGCATGACCACAGAAAGCTTTTACCACAGTGTCAGTGGCACTTAATTATCGTTAAGGCAGTTCCTGTGGATCTATGTTCTTATTCAGGATCATCAAGATTTTACATGGTCTCATCACATTAGATCTGAAGGGCTGTATCACCCTCTGAATATATAGCGTTGGGAGGACAGACTCCTTACAAATGGGTCAGTGGCTGACTGCTTGGGGTGTAATCTGTGCACCCAAAACTAAGGTGCAGTGAGTGAGCGGGAATCTATTCCCAAACGCTACAGATATTGCTCTCGAGAGAGAAAAAAAGTCTTCCTGAACCACACATCTTTCCATGTCTGATAGGAAATTCAGCTCCATTAGAATCTTATGGGACCACCATCCTTTATGTAGTCTGTTATTGATTGAAAAGTGGCTTCATGGTGCATGACTGTGTTGATCTATCACTAGTTAATCTTTAGACCTTATTCAGTTTGCCAAATGTTCTGTTAGTTCTTTTTAATTGAAAAATATTTCATTTTTTAACAAAGGATTAAATACAGAAAATGCTCCCTTGTAAGTACATATAGTTCCCTGAGTTCCAGCAAATGCTTAGGGGGCCTCTAACGGTCTGGGCTGAGGACCCTCCCCAAGGAATAAGGCATCTCTACAGGAATGGGCCCAGGATGCTTATGTGCAGGTTTTATTCTATTTCCTTCTCCCAGCTGCCATGGGTTGCCCTGAAAATGACAGTGTTTACTATGCTTACCCCAGCAGCTTAAGACTTTTAAACCATAGAGAGCGTTGTGCCTTTCCCTGGAGGACAGCTGCTGCTCTCCCCTCAGTCTGCTCCACTGGGAGCTTCGGGACCTGCCCTGCCTCCGTGCTTCTCTTGAGCATTGGTGAGGTCCCCAAAGAAAAGCTTGTGAGAGGAGATGAATTCCCCTTGTGCCTGAAGCTCCCCAGGGTTCTCCCCTCTTTAGCGATTTGTTAAAAATGTTAGGTGAAGTCCTCTTAGCAGGGTGTGTGACAGCTGGCGTTTCTAGCAGGAAGTGAGTGGCAGTGTCCTACCTCTCCCTGGAGGAGCCTGTTTTTCCTTAGACTTTGAGTTAGTTGGTTGCCTTGCAAACACAGCTCTATGATGGATTCACGGGAAGTTGTGATTTCATAGACTCATTAGCATTATCTGTTATTTTAAGAATGAAAGCGGCTTATTTCCATTTTCGACCTCCTAAATAGAAGACAGATATCTATTTTATATTTTTTGATCATCTGTGAATTTTACCTTACTGAGAAAACATTTGGAAAGAAAAACTGTTATTTCCTGACATATCAGTAATGAAAAAAAAAATCTAATAAAATATTCAGGTAGGTGGGCATTCTCCTTAGAAAGTTCTCTCCCAGAGAATAGGCAATCATATGAAAAATTAAAAAGATCATGCCTTTAAACAGGACAGATCCAAGAGTAAGAAGCTGGCTGACATTTAGATGTAATTATACCTTCAGGTAGACAGGTTCTTTCCTGCAGTTGCTTCTGACTCATGCAGAAATCATTGTATGTCATTTTCCTGACCCTTGTAAGGAAAAAAAAAATCTGATTGGAAAGCATTCACCTCTGCAGAGCTGAGGCATGGACTTACTTGCTAAAGGCTTTTAGCTAGGGAGTCTTCTCTGAAAATTATAGAAAGCCTGTATTTTGAAGGTGAACTGGTGATTAAACAGGAGGGAGGGGAAGGCCTTTATAGGAAAATCCAGATGCCTGGAATAGTTGCAGTGTTCAGAATAGTGTGATAGTCCCAGCTCCTGTGACTGTCACACTATTCTGACCTTTGGAGTGGGGACAAACTCAAACATAGGTTTCCTTTTAGTGTTCTCACATGAAGCTCTATTCTCCCCTACACTTGGCTTGGAACCCTCTTCACCTCTCGACCAGTGGCCTCATGAATATCATTGACAACCCCAAACTACCTTTTAACCAGGTACATGGTTGAATGAAGAAGTCCTCAGTCACCTACACACACACACACACACACACACACACACACACACACACAAAAAAAAAAAAAAAAAAAAAAAAAAAAAAAAACCTGAGAAAACTAATTTATGCCAAAGTATCATTTACTGATACATATTTGTTAAGGGGATATCTTTCTTATACTTTTAAACAAATTTTCTTTAATTAGAAGAGAGAATGGGAGACTCTCAGGAAGGTATCCTTCCACTAGCCTTCATACCAGTCTGTGGGCTGGCCAACCTATCTGTATGTAGAGTGATGCATATCAATGTCACAGACAGGTTTTCTCTCTCTTTTGGGAAATGGGACTGGATACATGGGGGTTTCAAGGGTATCTGTACTATTTCATTTTTAATATAATGATATGTAGATAAATGTTTATCTTTTACCCTGTGAATTATGTGTGTGTATAATATTTCATTATAACACTTAACAAAAAAGGATTCTATTGACTTTAAAAAGATTCTAGCATGATCTAGAAATGGAGGCTCAGGAATACTGATACTTAAAGTCACACTGGTCTCCAACAGTATGGGGATTACCAGAGTGAAAGGGGTGGGGAAAGGTAGAATAAAGCAGGAATAAATGGCGATGGAAGGAGACTTGACTTTGGATGGTGAACACACAATACAATAAGCAGACAATGTATTATAGAATTGTGCCCCTGAAATACATGTAATTTTATTAACCAACGTCACCCCAATATATCCAATTTAAAAAGAACTACAGCTGTCTCCAAACAAGGCTCTGTGGCCCTTTTAAGGAGTGGCTTCGAGAGCCCATCCTGCCTCCTGGAGTAGCGGCTCCCAAGCCTTTGCAAACCTATGACAAAATACATACTTAACCCCTTCCCCTATCCTTGATTATCACTTAGTTGGTCTTTTTATTAAGCATGCCAGTGATCCTAGTGTGATACCTTAGAGACAGATGCTGAAGGGTAAGCAAGCAAATCAGATCCCAGGAGCCCATGGTCCTTCAGACCTTGGCCACAGACTCGTGGCTAAGAATGGTCTAGAGAGAAGTATAGGTTGCATATAGGATCCAAGCAGCATCAGTACAATGATTCTTCTCATTAGAGATTATTATTGTGTCATGATCAACATCATGAAAATGCTTTAAACCTGGATGATTTGAGTGGAGGGGCAGGTAGGGGAGCAGGAGATAATGTTAAGATATGGTGGAAACAATTTAAAAACAACTCCTGAAATGAAGACATTTTAATTGTTCAAAGTAAAGGGCACTAAATTTAGATAAATAGGTTCATGTTGTTATAAGTTATCAGAGAAAATGAACAGGAACAAACCTTTCTCATTGTGTGTAGGGGGAGCAAGGACCTCAAGGCTTTCCAGGACCAAAGGGCACGGCAGGCCGTGGCTTCCCTGGCCAGAAGGTAAGCATTTCAGACCTTAAAAAAGTCTCAACTGCTTAACTTGAACTTTGGAAGAGCTCTCATGTACTTGTTACTCTTCTTATGAACTCTCAGAGTGAAAAATCCATTTGAAAGTAAGTCCTTAGGTATTTCCTTTTCCCTAACTTACAAACATGTTTATTTTATAAAATCTCATTTCCTTCATTCTCAAAAGCCAGCTGATAAAAGAATAAACCCTTACAGCATGACATATAGGAGGTACTAGATAACTCGGGTGTAAAATTATACAATGGTTGGTCTCCAGAGGCCAGTGAGCTGATTCAATGGTATCTCAAGGTCTCCTCACTTTGAGAGCTCCGGTTCATGAAGAATTAGATTATGGTATCTTTGGGGGGGAGGGTGTGTAAATAAAATGCCCCCATTTTTCTTCTATCAGACATCTGTAGTTATAAATAAACAAAATTTCGGAGTTTTTATTATTTGGCTTTAACATTCACATTCTAAACTTCCCCTTTCACTATGTTTTAAAGGGAGAGCATGGAGAACGGGGCGATGTGGGGAAAAAAGGTAATAAAGGGGACATCGGAGAGCCCGGATCACCAGGAACACAGGCAAGAAGTGATTTTTAAGGCCTTACTGTAATTATATATGTTAACTACGTAGTTCCTATGTTGATTCTTCTTCTTCTACTAAGCAGGGGTTACAAGGACCAAAAGGAGAGCAAGGACTTACAGTGAGTACCACCCCTGGAGGCTACCTGAGGGCTTGTGCTGGCAAAACTATTACATTCAGGTTCTAGCTTTAGAAAGTATGAGTTCTTTTGACACAGAGTTCCAATTGCTGTTTGAATGGTAGCACTGCTAACAAAGAAATGAGAAAAAATTTGATGTATACATATGATTACTTAAAGCATTTCAGACCTGATTATCCAATAAAAGCCCACTGAAAATAATTAAAATTCAATTGTGATATATAAATTATTCTTACAAGTAAATAAAAGAAAAACATTCTAACAAAAAATGGACAAAGAATATATAAAGACTGTGCACAAGAGAACACAACTTGGAAAAGTCTGTAAGTAAAATTTAGCCTCACTAATAATTGAATAAGTAAAATTTAAAACAATGAAGGAGAGATAAACCAAAGAACATATATACTTATATGCATAGCCCATAGACAAGTGCAACAGGGTAGTGAAGACCTAAGAGTGGGGGGGGGGGGGTATGTAGGGGCTGGGAGGAGGGAGATAAAAAGGGAAAAATGGGAGATATCTGTAATACTAACAATAAAAATATATTTTTTAAAATAAATAAAACAATGAGATAGTTTGCTCTATCAAGTGCCAAAGATTATGCAATAATAACCAGTATTGTGTGTCTAAAATAAACAGGTTTTCTTCTAAACTCTGTTAGAGTTATCATCACTACAACTTTTCTGCAGGGCAATTTGGCAGAATGCATCAAGAGCCTTAAAATGGCCATGTATTTGACATTAGTAATCAAGTAATATGGGAAATTAACTATGATATCATATTAAATTAAAATTATAATTATAAAACTTGGCATATAGTATTCATTTATAAAAAATAAACATAAATATTTAAATATATGCATTTCCCCTTTCTAGACCCATTCTAATTTCAGATTTCTTAAATGTCTCAGTAAATGTAAAAAAGCAATTCAAGGCCTGAGAAAAAATAACTGTTGACTTTCTCATTTTTATATAATTTTATTAATATTGTATTGTAAGTTCTTTTTAAATAGCCACTTGGAATCATTGGCTTCTACTAAAATTATGGTGTAAAAAAATTAAATTTAAATGCCCTGAATATTCCTTATACATGTTTTTGTTAAGTCATGTCACCTTCACCCCAATTCTGTCATTATAGATTTTTTTCTTTAAAACTTTACTTTTGCGACTGTTAAATTTTATTTTCTTAGATTAGGTCCATCGCTCCTTCCTGCTGAGATTTTCTGGGCTCCTGTTTCTTTTATCTATGAGTTAATCATAACTGTCAGCTCCTGTCTTTGGCAAATGTACAATCCTGCCTTCTCTAGTCTCATCCCAGTTATCTGAAAGGATACTACTCAGGGCCAGGCCTCAGCTGATTTACTTCTGGTACCCAGCTCCCACTGGGCCCTTCTGAAAGAGCTGATGGGCAGGAGGACCTGAAGCAGCATCCAGAACACTAGGACATTTCGTGAAAGCGCCTAAGAGAGTATTAGGAAACAGGAGAGGAGACTTGCAAAATTGGGGAGTGGTGCAGAAAAAGAGGAGGGGATAAGCATGGAATAAAACTGTTATTTGGTCCTGGTGTTTGTCTTGGTTCTTGGTTGCTCAGCGCTTGTGGGTTAAATCATGTATCTGTTTGCATGCATGGCTCACACCACTGTAGGTAGTATCAGTGGTCCCCCTTATCCACAGGGAATGTGTTCCAAACCTCTCCAGTGGATGCCTGAAACTACAGCTAGCATCCTATATATACTATGTTTTTTTCCTATACATACCTATAATATAGTTTAATTTATAAATTAGACAAAGCAAGAGGTTAACAATAAAACTAATAATAAAATACAATAATTATAACAGTATACTGTAGTAAAAGTTATATGAGTGTGGTCTATCAAAATATCTTATTTTACAGATAGAAGATTCACTCTTATCATAGGTCTTAGCAACCTCAACATAGGATTTTTTTCCCCCTAAGTGGAGAATTTTTATCTTTTTCACTTAAAGGAAGCATATGTCTGGCTTCTCTTTGACATATCCAAATTTGCAGTATCACTACTCTTGTGCTTTGGGGCTTTTAGTAAGTAAAATAAGGATTACTTGAACACAAGCAATACCTTGACAATCAATTTGACAACCAAGATGGCTACTGAATGGCTAATGTTTGGGGTGGGGAGCAGGGAGGAGGGATGTGGGAGAACCATACAATTCGAATACTCAGGGAACAGGGATGAACCACACCTCAGAAGAGATGGAGTGGGACAGCATGAGATTTCATCTTGCTACTCAGAATAGCGCAAAATTTAAAACGTATGACTTGTTTATTTCTGGAATTTTCTGTTTAATATTTTCAAACTGCAGCTGACTGCAGGTAGCTGAAACCATGGAAGGTAAAACCATGGGTGGGGGTGGGAGGAGTCCTCTGCAGGGCCAGACGGTGTGGGAAGAGCTCTGTGTGTGTTATCCTGTTAAATCTGTCCACAGTCCTAAGACACAGACACTGTTAAATCACCTAATGCCCAAGGTCATACAGCTAATAAATGCTGGAGCCACAATTTGAATTCCAAAAGTCTGAGGTATTACATTACACAACTCAAACACATTTAGTTATGATACATTACAGCCACCTTTTAACCTCTGTGCTACTTATTTTCTGGCGTGGAAGCATTAAATCAAATGGCCCAATGCTGATTGTAATAAGACTTATCTTTTATGATTATAGAAAAAATAGTATGGTCATACTATTAACACATATTCTTTTTTTTTTTCCTCCAGAAAGAAGAAATTATCAAACTTATTTTTGAAATTTGTGGTAAGATTTGACTATGGAAAAAAAAACAAAAAAAAACACCTTTTAAAGTACCAACCCCACTTTGCTCTGTGTTGGTCTAGATAATGTGTTCACCCAGAAGATGTATATTGTGTAGCTCATGAGAAAGTTTGAAGCTCATTTGAAAAGTCAGTAGGAGACTGAAAGGAAGTAATGAGAGGGGCAGTGGGAATCCTAATTTAAGAAAAGAAAGTCATCTTTCTGGTGATTAAGAAGCATAAGACCTGCCTAGAGTCATTGGGCAGCCAGTCATTCTGTAAGTCCGGTGTCATTTATATTCAGGGACATTTACCTGACCTTGGGAAGAAGAAAGCAACAAAGGAAATATGATCATGGGGGCCTAACTCATATTTGAGTCCAGCCTGACTGGTGGTTATCATGTCTGTGTTTTTTCCTGAAACAATCTTTCCGAATTGAGATTTGAGCACTACTTCTAGAGCGCATTCCACGAAGTCATGGGGTTCTTGCTTCACAACTATTTCTAAATACCGCTACATATGTATTTGGTCAAATACATGAGACTTAAAATAGAGTTACCAAAGAGAGGAAGTAAAGAAGCCCAAAGGCAAGAGATTAAAGGAATAATAAGGGCAAGTGAGCCTTCTGAATTTAAAAAGGACAGGTGCAGGAATATCATGGTTATTCCATACAGACACCCCAGAACTGGCTTGTCACCCCCAAATCTCTTGGACTTTAAGAACCAACCTGGGACTCTACATGATGTGGTAACAGGCCAATTTAGACACGATTTCTGGGATCTAGCAGCTCCGTAAAAATAGCAACTTTCCTCATGATTTTTTTGTGGTAGGATTGTTGGGCAACAGGAGGATGACTAAATTAATGGATCGCTGATAATTCTTAATGCCTGGGGACTCCGGCATCTGCATTGAATGATAAACCCTAAACAGAAGTTGTTTATTGACTGGCATTCTCATTACCTTAAGAAGATTTCATAGTATGATATGAATGGATGGATGGCCTCGTTGATAAGATGGGAGCCACTGTAGTGGACCTGGTGGGCAATTAGGGACATAAACTAGAGTAGATATTCATTATTATTATTATTATTATTATTAGCATCAATGTGTTCATTTTTTTGATATTTATTAAATTGATTGGGGTGACATTGGTCAACATAAACATATAGGTTTAATGTGTGGGCTTCTATGTTATAAGATCTGTACATTGCACCATGTGCCCTCCACCCAAAGTATACAATTCTTGTATACAATTAAAAGCCGTATTCTTTCCCCATGATTAAAATTTTTCATCGCATTACTTTACCCATTGGCTGTGCCAATGAGCTAATCCCTGTTTTCATGTAAGGATGACATTGAAGACTGAAACATTAGTTTTCAGATTCAGATGAAATACAAATGGTGGAATGACAAATTTAGGAGAGTGTGATCTCTTAGAGGGAGGGAGGGGGGCATAATCAGGAAGGCAGACACAGGGGATGCTGTTTCTTAAAAATATTTTAGTTTTTAATCTGAGAAAATGGCACATAGTGCTTATTATTTTATCATCTACAGTGTTTTGTGTTTTGTTTTTTTTAATAAATTATATATTTTTTAAAGAGTCAGGTATAGAAACCAGATGGGAAACCAGTTGTCAGCTGTGTCCACAGTTATAGGAAAGGAAAGTTATAATTCAGGTCTCAGGTTCACCTGTGCTCATTTCTCCCCACCCCCACCAATCTGTTATGAATCAGTGACGTTTAGAGTTTCATTCCTATAATACAATGTCTTTGTCTTGACATTCAACTTCTAGGTTGTGGACCCAAATGTAAAGAGACTCCTCTAGAGCTCTTGTTTGTGATTGACAGCTCAGAAAGTGTGGGGCCTGGCAACTTCCAAATCATCAAAAATTCTGTGAAGGCTCTGACTGATCAGGTGGCGCTGGACCTTGCCACGACCCACATAGGCATCATCAACTACAGCCATAAGGTGGAGAGGGTGGCTCATTTGACAGAGTTCTCCAGCAAAGATGACTTTAAGCTGGCCGTGGACAACATGCAGTACCTGGGAGAAGGCACCTATACCGCCACAGCTCTCCATGAAGCCAACCGCATGTTTGAAGCTGGAAGGCCAGGTGTAAAGAAAGTGGCCTTGGTCATCACTGATGGGCAGACAGATACCCGAGATGAAAAGAATCTGACACAGGTGGTGAAGAATGCCAGGGACGCCAATGTGGAAATATTTGTGATAGGGGTGGTAAAGAAAAATGACCCCAACTTCGAAATGTTCTATGAAGAAATGAATCTAATTGCTACTGATAGTGGTCATGTTTATCAATTTGATGATTTCATTACCCTACAAGGTAAGACTCAGCTCCAGGGAAAAGGCACTTATGCTGTTCTTCCAAACATGGAAATTGGGAGGCTACTGAGACTCATGATAACATTAAATTGTAACACACAAACTCCAGAAAGTAAAAACACTTAGTAACATCCCATTTTGAGAGCCCTTGTCTTGATTCATTAGTAACATAAATGCTGAGTTAGTTGGTCTTGGAGTTAACTTGAGTATCTCTGGTTGAAGGACATGGATGAAAAGAAAGGCTAGAACTTGGCAGTATTGCTAAGATTAATGTTCAAAAAATTACCTAACCTGAATAAGAGATGGAACAAGCCATTAGCAAGGCAGACAATAACCTTATAATCAAAATTAATTAAGAAATGCATGATGAATGAAAAAAATTATGGTAATCTAAAGAGAAGAGAAGAGAGACACAAGTATCTGGGATTATTCTAGTTTATTCTCTGCTCTTACAAAAATGGATAATGAGTAACAAGTTGATGTCAAGACTATCTTACAGAGCACCATCTTGAATATTCAATCAATGCCAATGAGCTAGGTTTCCCTATGCTCATGCACCCTTTCACATGAACTGAGGTCTCTTAATGAGGCAATCTAAGACCCTGTTTCATCTATGGTTGAAGGATGATCAGTGTTGTTTTACAATGGAACATGTTTCACCTCTTTAGAAACTGATAATTCATTCTGGCAGGACTTCCACCTGGCAAGATTGTAAAGGAAGTAAATGTTATGCCTAATATGTTTGAAGATTTTGGTTTGGCACCATCTTTCTCTTCTGCACACTCTGGAAGTGGGGCCTGACATGGTCTACCACAGACCCTTCTGGCCCTAATGACAGCATACCATACTTAGATCTTCCCACAGTCTAGTTTTCCCTTTATTCAGACCTTTCTAACTTGGGGTTCCAATTCCTTGACACCCAGTTGGATGACCCAGTTGGATGATATATTCAATGTCACTGGGCTATTTATATGTTAGAATGACCAGAAGTATTACACATCTAGTCATTCTAACAAGTTCTATTTTAATAATTGAGGAGCTTTATCATCTAAACCTAAGGGGTTAGTGTAATGTGTTCCAGCCAGAGAGGAATATATTTGGGGGCTGGCTGGCCATTTGCTACCCTTAACTACTCATTAAACTTAGGAGGGGCGAGACTTGCCCCTTCCATAAAGTAGTTCATAGTTAACTGATGTTTTTGATAAGCAAGCATTTAAGTCATTCTTTTGCTTATTTGGCCCTCCCTCGTATATTATTACATTTAATTAAATTATTTTAGATGGCCTCTCATAGATGATGTAAAAATATTTTAAACTTAGTTCACCTAGCAGTTGACTTCACGTGATGGGAAAGTCTGTTTATTTTAAGGAGAATTCAGGTCTCTTTAAACAGGGTTTGAGTAATGTTCCATTGCTCCTAAGATGTCTCTTTTCTACTTCTCTTTTAAAAGACACCCTGAAGAAAAGACTGTTCAAAAAAAATTGTGAGAAATTTGATTCCTACCTCCCTAAAATTTTGGGTTCATCTCCACTTCAACCTGGGTTTGGAATGTCAGGAGAAGAACTCAGCATTTCCACTCCAGAGCCCCAGAAAGAATTGTCTGAGTCAGTAAGTAACTGTCTTGCTTAATTTTCGAGCTTCACATTGTGTTTTCTGTCTGTTTGACATCAAAGAACATCTTCTTTGCACTGCCAAGAATCAGCTGAGGTGTGCATATTTTCCAGTCCTTGGCCCTAAATATTAGCTCTTTGTCTCCTGATTTCTAGTTCTGAAATAGCTCTGGGGCTTGTGAGCATAAATATGAGATTTCTAACTATCTCTATATTTTATAAGTAATTATTTATTAAATGTTGCAAATCATATTTTTATATTAGATCCCTGCCACCACCAAAGCCATAACAGGCACTAGAAGAGATGAATACTATACGATTTGAATTACCCACTTACCATGCTTTGCAGATCCTTTCATACCAAGTCACAACTCTTTCTTGTCTGTCTGTGTATCCACTGCCCATTTTGCATCCTCTCAGGTTTCTTCAAAGTTACAATATTCAACCTGCCACTATGCCCCAATTCAGGCCACATTCTTAGCTCACTTTGCTTCCACTTCTTGTGGTCAGAGCAGGGACTGGGAGGGAGGCTATGCAGGCATATGGTAAAAGGTGGATGCTCTGTTTCCTAGCAACAGAAAGAACTACCTCCCGGATGTATTGAGACAAATGTGACTGTCATGGCTAGCTTCTGGGCACTAACCTCAGCCAATCAGGCTATGAGCAATTATTAGGTTCTTTTTGGCCAAAACTGGAGAGCTTCCCATAGTTACTGGCAAGCGGATGTTGTAGTCTCTTCCCCACCACGTCACAACAGAGAAATCCCTGACTCATTTTTATTGCACAAGTGGATATCCTCTGGCAAGCAGGCACATGGCTGCCATGACCCTATTCTGTAAGCTCAATGAAGTCCTTATTCTGCCCTTTTATGAAGGCTTCATGGACATGGGAAATTCATTATGAGCAAGTCCAACAATATTCTAGCATCAGGATTCAGCTCTCTAGTTGGACTAAGGCCTTGAGAAAACCTGCAGGTCAATAGGTGGACTCAGGACCATCAGGAATTAGGCCTAGGAAGCCATTCCTATGGGGACAGAGTCTAGGATTCACTAGATTTTTATACTCTGTTCAAAAAACAGGTGGGAAGGCTCTAGCATATTTCTATTTGATTAACTACTAACCGTCTCTGAGATGGGTAATTGCAGTAAGAGCAACAGACTGCCCCTGGATTGTTAACTGAAATGAACACATACATTCTTGCCACCTGGTTTATATTAGGGGTCAGCAAACTCTTTCTGTAAGAGGCAATATAGTAAATATTTTTTGTTTTGTAGGCCATTTGATCTCTGTCACAATTACTCAACTCAGTTTTTGAAGTGCAAAAGCATTGTAGCTAGTACTTAATGAATAAATATGGCTGTGTTTGGATAAAGCTTATTTCCAAAACATGATGACTCTGATTTGGCCCCAGGGATTGCTGTCCCTGGTATTTACTGAACACTATAAAGTAAATTCCAGACATTAATGTACACAGTCTATGACTTTGTCCCTCCCCTAGTCAATCCACATGCCTTTCCAAAACCTTTCTAAAAAGAGCTTGCTCAGGTTTCTTCGAGCAAGTGGTGTTTAAACTGAGCTCTCCTTGTGATTAATGAATTCTAGTAGCATGTATTGATCACCTACTGCTGTAGCTGATGGTGATTCTTAAGACACAGTTCCTGGCTGGCAGGTGTGACTCAGTTGGTTGGAGCTTTGTTTTATATACCAAAAGGTTGTGGGTTTGATTCCTGGTCAGAGCACATATCCAAGTTGTGGGTTTGATCCCAGGTTGGGATGCATGCAAGAAGCAAATGATCAATGTATCTATCTATCTATCTATCTATCTATCTATCTATCTATTAATATCTATCTATCTCAAATGAAAGGGAAGGAAGGAAAGAAGGAAGGAAGGAAGGAAAGAAGAAAGGAAGACAGTTTTTACCTGAGAAAAACCCAGGGCCTATCAGGGAATGAGTGACTTATAGAAGGTATTAAGAACTTTAGCGGAGCTGTGGATGAACCACAAGAGACAGAACAATTAATCTCAGGGCAGAGTAGTGGAGGGCTTTATAGAGGAGGTGGCATTGATCTGAGTCTTAAGAATATGCAGGAGTTTTTTCAAAAAAGAAGGCTACCTCCAGCAGAAGGAACATGTAGGCAAAGGGGGACACCAAAGGGCAGAGTACTTCAATAAATTAGTACAAGTCTAACTGGAGCCCAAAGTGTGTGTGGCAGAATGGTGAGAGTTAAATCTGGATAAATAGAGGACCAATTACAAATGGCTTTATCCGTTAAGCTAAGGAATTTAAACTGAACCCATAAGCCAGGCAAGCCAGGAGATAGCAGAGATGTTTTTAAAATAAGGGTCATAAAATCATATTTGGTTCACGGGAGGAATAACCCTGATTGTAGCGTGAAAGATAAATAGGAAGAGGCAGGAGAGACGGAGACAGATATGAGTCCAGGTGAGAGATAATGAGAGCAGTGGGAATGAAAGGAGGCATGGATTGAAAAGCTGTTTCTGGGGTAGAATGAATAGGACGTAGTGATTGTGTGGATTGGAGGTTAGTCAGAGAGAGTGATTTGGGGATAACAGTTGGATTTCTAGCTCAGAGATAGGGTGAAATGAAACACCATCCCCTGAGATGGAGAATACAGGAGACAGGATGGGTTTTTTTTTTTTTTTTTTTTTTTTTTTTTTAAGGAAAATAAGGAGCTTAGTTTGCACTAGGTAAAGCAGAGGTGCCTGAGGGAAATCCAAGGCAGTTATAACACAGAATGAAGTACAGCAAGACCCTATGCCACACATGACTCAGGAAGTCTGATGGTCTGGGAGACAAGTGATGTTAATGGATTGTGACAGTAGAATCATTCCAGTAGCTGGGAAGGGAATGGCATACAAAGAGTACATCCAAAATAGTTTGTATTTATAACAACTAGAGCTGCACAGAAGAAAACTCAGCATCATCGAGGTCACTCTAGGATGCCTCTGACTGAGATAATGGGACCTCAAAATGAACCTGGGTTTCTTAGATAGCCCACTTTCACCCAGGCTTTTGCAGAAACGCCAAGGCAAGACTGTGGGATTCCTATGCAGAGTGATTCCATAGCAAACCAGTGATGAAATGACCAGCTAGGATAGGAGGAGACCCTCTGGGAGTCCTGCACCATGTGGAACGGGGGAGGGGGGGGTTGTGATTCTCCACTTCCCTCTGATATTGTCCTGAGATGTATAGTACAATGCTAGCCTTACGTCTAGGGTGCAGGCTCTGCATCTTCACCGAGAAATGTATATTCTGCATCAATGTAAATTATAGAAAACACACCAGGCTGACCTTGCTGGCTGTCCCACCCTCTCTTTGTCCTTCCTTGCTTTTAGTGAGTCCTTGTTCCTGGTCCCAACCCCTTTTTCTCCCCTCCTGTCAGGATCACACAAGCTGCTCAGAGATCTCCATGGCAGTTTTCCTTCTTGCTGTTTCCCCCACCCCTTACTCACCTTTCCCGACAACTCTCCCTCATCCATTCTCCACTTTGAGATCGGTCTAAAGTTAGGCTCCACTGGCAGTTTTTGAAGAGCTGGAGCTCTTATTGGTTTGGCTCAGTGGATAGTGTATCAGCCTGTGGACTGAAGGGTCCTGGGCTCAGTTCCAGTCAAGGGCAAATGCCTGGATTGTGGGCTTGTTTCCTGATGGGACACACAGGAAGCAGCCATTCATGAATCTCTCATCATTGACATTTCTACCTCTCTCCCTTCCTCTCTGACATCAATTAAAAAAAAAAGAAAGAAAGAAAGAAAGAAAAAAAAAAAAGAGCTGGAGCCCTGAGCAGGTTCTGATCTGACTTGATATTGGAAAGAGATGTGGTCTTTCATCCTAAAACCTGACCCCAGGCTCTGTCCTCAACTCTGATGGCACAGCTTTTAGTCCCTACCTGTGCTCTGAGGCCCATTCCCTTCTTTTCCAAGACAAGGGCCTTGCTTCACTGTGGTGCTCATTCCTGCCAGTATTTCTCACTTCTGCCTTAAAGTGAATTCCCTAACCCTCTCATAGTTCACATGTCCCTCTTTCTACTATCTTATCTCTTTTAATAATAAAATTATTCTATAGGCCTGTCTCTTCTCTCCCTCTCTCTCTCTCTCTCCTCTCTCTCTCTCTCTCTCTCTCTCTCTCTCTCTCTCTCTTCTCTCTCTCTCTCTCTCTCTCTCTCTCTCACACACACACACACACACACACACACACACACACACACACACACACACACACACACATTCTCATTCCCTCTCACTCTGGCTCTCATTTTCAACTTCTTTTGTAAAAGTATATTATTAGAGCAGTAAAAAGCGTATACTGGCCAATGCTACTTCCTTCAATATGGCACTGAAACTCTGCTGAAAAGCCACTACCAATCTCCTAATTGTCAAATCCTATTGCCATCTTCTAACTGCTTTCCTCTTTCACATATAACACTCATTTCTTTGATTTTGAGGGTTCTCTCTCTCTCTCTCTCTCTCTCTCTCTCTCTCTCTCTCTCTCTCTCTCTCTCTCTCTCTCTCATTATTCTCCTCTAACTCTTCTGAGCATTCTCTCTTAATTGCTTTTGGGGTTTCTCTGTTTCTTTACTTCTTAAATGTGTAACCCTCAATTCTCCTTAGCCTGCCTCCCTTCTTGTTCCACACACTCTCAGTCCCAAACTAAAAACTCTCAAGTCTGCCTCCCCAATCCAGATCCTTCTCCTGGGCCCCAGAGTGACATTTATGATGGTCTCTGCACATGTTAGTCCCCCTGGCATTCAACATGGACCATGTTCGCGTGCTGCTCTCTCACATTTCCTTCCCAGGCTACGGTCCCACCAACCAGGCAGACACCTGACAGGGGTCCCACCAACCAGGCAGACACCTGACAGGGAAACTGTCTCACCATTTCTTGTCTCTATTAATAACATGGCCTCAAAACATGGATCCCATCTTGCTTTTCTGTATCTTCTTCAGTTTACCCATTACTTGTTGATAGAATAATTTTTTTTTTTTGGTCTTATAAAAATGACATCATTGAATTGTTTTTCTTCTATATAATTCAATTTGTGCTGAATTTTCTTTAAAATCTCTAATAACCTGGCATACATTTTAACAGTAGATTAGGAAAAATAACATACTAGTTTAATATATCTATATTTTTCTCCTAATGTTGTAGGTTGCGCAATCATACTATACTCACTACTAGATGAAATAACCTGTTCAAAAGACGATTGGAGTTTTCCTGTCTCCATTGAAAGGAAAATTGATTTCCTAAAATTAGACTTACTTAATTATAAATGACCTTGACTAGGCATATATATAGATATATTATAATTTATTTTTATAAAATTCAATTAACACTCATTGTGGTGGGGGGAAAAAACTTCAATTATTTTGGATAAAATCCTGCTTAATGACTAATTTTTAGCATTACTACATGAATTTGTGTAAGCATCTTATATTGTTAATAATAGACTTATTATCCTTAGAATATAAGATGCTCCTATCCTGTGGAGGAGAGAAAAAAATAATATAAACTGTCCTAGGAGAAATCTCCCACACCTGAAAATCTGGAAATGTGGTATTCTCAATGCTGAAGCTAAATACTTATTTTCGTGGCTCAAAATTTTATATTTTTTTCTATTTTAATATTTCAGCGATTGGGTGCATCTAGTTAGTGTGTTGTGGTCTTCTTTTGAAATACTGAAAATTGATAGTGTATCTCACAGCGACCAACAAATTAAAAATTAAATCTGATATCTACCTGACACTATTTCTTAAGGGTTCTGTTTCCTCATTTGTAAAATAAGGGATTGTTACCAGCATATTCTTCCTAAGGTAAAATTATATTATTAGAACAGTAAAAAGCATTTACTGGGCATTATATTAATACATGTGAGGGTTTAAACAGAATGAAATCCTGCAGTTTACCCTCTAGGGGAGCTGCAGAAGATGGGAGAGATGCAGCCCAAACTAAAGGTGTTCTTGACAGTCCTCCACAACCTTAAATGCAAATAAAAAGTGTTTGATTTAAGTACTTCTTGAGAGCTGAGAGTCCTGCCAAAAAAAAAAAAGGTATCACACACCTTGAAGGCACTGGCAGCTGAGCAGCTGGCAAGCGCAGACAGAATCCCCACAGCCACCCGGGAGGAACATGGACCTGCACTGCTGGGAAAAGCTAAGCCTGAGCACATAGGCTAAGGCAGAGGATCATTCGCATTCATCCAGACAAGACATGAGCTCAGAGTCGAAGAGCTTGTCTGTGATAAATGCAAAATTCTGTGTAATGAATTATGAGAGAAATGTTTGGAAATCAGAGACCAGATGGCCTTTTGGAATTGTTAGCAATCCTGCTTTAGGGCATACATTCATGTTCCTAGGATGCTGCTCCAAATCTGTTTCCCTCCCCTTAAAGAGTGAAAGGGACTGGCCATAGCACATCTGCCTGGGCAGCTGCAGGGAGCAGCCCTGGACTCCAGGTGTTGGCCCGTCACGCGTCCCTAAGCTTCTCCTGTGTCTTCTTACTGTGCTGACACCGTTTGTCTCAAGGCAAGCCAGTGTGGGGGAGCTGATAGGCAGGCTTTTGTTTTTAGGTTTAAGGTTTATAAAAAGAACAGAGAACACATATAACAAACATCTGAGTTCCCACCGCCAATACGTAACCATGGTTTCCATTTAATCACTCAGTCTTGCTGCAAATAAAGTTAAGGTCCTTGCTTGTTTTAAGAGTCTCTTTCTCCTCCTCCTCTCTCCAGGGGAACCACTACCACCAATCTGGTGTGTATTTTGAAAGTAAAGTGTGAGGCTGTTTAAATTCCACTTTTAGAACTCAAAGTTATGTTAGGGTCTAAGCTTTTCTGATTTTCAAATGATGATGTTAAAGCCTACAAGAATTAAATAATTAATCCAAAGCGCCCATCCCCCCTTTCTTTCCCTCTCCCTCTCCCATTCTGAATTTATTCAGCAGCCACTATTTGCTCATCTATGCTATGAAAACTTAAAAAAAAAAAAAAGAAGAAGAAAAGGAAGGTAGAAGAAAGGAAAGATAAACATCGCATGGTTTAATTTCCCTTAGGAAAGTGATATTTACACAGGTGAAACAGGAAATGATGTGACAGCATAGGATTAAAGGTTAACGTCCATATGATCAGGGCCAAGTAGGGAACACTAGAAGGTATTGCGCACCATCTGGAAGAGGACTGTTAGTATGGACTGGGTTACTGGGACAGGTTCTGCAGGTGGGATCCATCGTGGGAGGGTTCACTTTGGTCTGATGCAGAATGAAGAAGAGGAAGGGATGAAAGAAAGGTTACAGCAAGATGTGCCGGGAATAGTGGAAGCCACGCTTATAACATTACCAAAGTGTGGAGGACACAGATTGTGGCAGTGCCATGGATCAGCTGAAAAATTTACCTATAAATCAGTAATTATCTCAATTATCTCTTTTTCTCAACAATAACATCTAATAAATGGTGATAGCTCAAGAAAAGACACTCAGCAGTGAGAGGGCAAGTTGGTAAAACTTTTTTGAAGAGGACTTTATCTCAGAAGTTCAAATATAAGTGTTCTTAAACCAGCCATCAGCCATAAGCTTTCTAATAGAAAAAGAACAAATTAAATGTTTTTAAAAGACCGTTATAATTACATATATTCTGTATTTAAAATGGTATATATCATAGTTGGAGGAAAATATATGGAACCAGAATATATTAAAATTTAAAAAACACAGAAAACCAAACACACAGTATATTTTTGTTTAAAATATATATATGTGCACATAGGAAAAAGACTGGGGAAATATACACCAGAATATCAACAATGATTATTTCTGGGAGGCGGAATCACTCACTTGTGATTTCTCTTTCCTTCTTGTTGTTTGTTCAGATTTTCTAAAATCCCTTCCATGAACATGTTTGCTTTTGTAATAAGGAAGAAAATGATAAAATGGCAAACCATAGCAAGTATGTTTTTGTTGAAATAATCTGAATTTCACAGAGCCAAAAAATATAATTATCCTCATTTATGAAAAATAAATGAATTTCACTGGTTCTAAGAACCTGAGATGTGATGTTCTGGTGGTCATAACTCCCAAATGGTGATGTGATTGAGAAAGAAAACACACACTCCTAAAAGTGTAAGGAGTAAAGAATAACTTCGGGGGCTGTGAGGCTTGGCTATGGTAATGATTTAAAGGCTGAGTTCATTCCTTTAAGAAAACCATGCTGCCCCATGCACTTCTTCAAAGGAATATTCTCGCCTGATAGATAGTGTATCTGAAGTGTAGCCTCATGTCCAGTGACACTTTTATGTTTGATAAACTGCTCCTCAGGCAACTTACTCTTTTTTTTTTCCGTGTGTGTGTGTGTGTGTGTGTGTGTGTGTGTGTGTGCAAACAAACAAAAACCCAACAGTATTTCTTTCCTGAAACAGGTATGTCTCAGATTTTGCCACTAGCTTAACAATAATTTGGGGGCAGTTCCTTACTCATTTGGAGCTTTAGATTCCCCTCTAGACAATGTATTATAGTACTGAAAAAGTGTTGCTCTAACCTTACATTCTCTAGCTCTATGACTATAACAAAAGTTCTCATTCATATTGTCATATGTACACACTAGATCAGTCTGAAAGAAACATGAATACCTAGTGAACCAATTTTACCTCTATCTGTCCCAAAAGTTGTACAAAAGTTTGAGGCTAGTGAAAATCTACCACTGTGTTTGACTTGAGTGCCTATTTCATAGGTCCGATGACTAGATCAATCCCAATGGAAATATCTGCTATGATTTACCTGGTAGTACTTAAATCATTGCAAATATATGTTTATACCAAATAAGAGAACTGATTAGTGTTTCCCCCATTATATATATGTGGTAGGAAAAATCCATAATGTAAGTATTCAGGGATGCATGACATAGAAGAGGGGCCATCTCCTGGGTTTCATTGAAAGAATCAATATTGGAGAGTTGGGGAGAAGCAGAATGCTGCACTTTTCCTTAAATATTCCCAAAAGCAAACTCACTTTTTTGACTTGATATCACTAGAAACAAAAATGTGAACTTCTTGTGTAGGTCAGTATCCTCGGAGCCCAGGACAAAGAGGATGAGCCTCCAGAGCCTACCTGGGCTGACAGCCTGACCACCACACCTTCTTCTGAAGCTGCCACCATCCAGGGGCCATTGAGCAGCCCCTCTGAGGATGGGACCATGGGTCTAGATAGTAGAACACCAAGCCCCAATTTGAACTTACAGTGGGGAAAGCTGATGCACAAAGGTAAGAGATACCTGCCAATCAGCTGCTGCATCTAAAATGTGAAGAAGGCACAGAGAAGATAGTCTCTAAAATCTCATTTAGAGAGAATGTATTTTGATTATAAACAGGGGGAACAGAAGATAATTTCATTTAATTATATACTAGAGGCCTGGTGCAAGAAATTTGTGCACAGGATGGGGGTGTTTCCCTCAGCCCAGCCTGCACCCTCTCCAGTCTGGGACATCCCACTCACAATCCAGGACTGCTGGCTCCTAATTGCTCACCTGCCTACCTTCCTGATTGCCCCTAACCTCTTCTGCCTGCCACCCAGATCATCCCCTACTACTCCCCTACCAGCCTGATTGATGCCTAACTGCTCTCCTGCCAGTGTATTTGCCCCTAACTGCCCTCCCCTGCAGGCTTGATCACCCCCAACTGCCCTCCCTTGCAGGCCTGATCCCTCCCAACTGCCCTCCCCAGCTGGCCTGATCACCCACAACTGCCCTCTCTTGCAGACATGGTCCCTACCAAGTGCCCTCCCCTGCTGGCCATCTTGTGGTGGCCATCTTGTGTCCACATGGGGGCAGCCATCTCGTGTGTTGGACTGACGGTCAATTTGCATATTATTCTTTTATTAGGATAAAATTAGAAAACTGGCTGATGAATTTTGAAAATTTGTCAAAAAAATTTAAAACTCTTTAGTGTTTGTTATTATTAATTCTTATTTATTTTATTTTGTCTTTGTTAATGCTCACCCAAGGATATTTTTTCCATTGATTTTTAGAGAGTGGAAGGGAGAGAGGAAGAGGGGGGGGGGAAAGAGAGAAAGAAATAGTGTGAGAAACTCATGGCTTGGTTGCCTCCTGCATCCACTCTGATTGGGGCTAGAGATTGAATCTGCAATCCAGGTATGTGTCCTTGATCAGGAATCAAACCTGCATGTGAACCTTTGGTGTATGGGCCAATGCTCTAACCACTGAGCAACATAGACCAGAGCTGTTATTATTTTTAATTTGAATACTTTTACATAGGGCTGTACTTTTGTGTTTGCCACAATCCCTAGCACTTCCTATTACCTTACACATGGCCTTCACACATATAGACATTTGAGTTTTGACCTTTAGTTTGTAGAAGAAAGAAAAAAAGCTAGAATCTAGATTCATCAACATATTTTCTACAGTATTAATATCTTTGGAAATTAATCATTAGAGATTATGTCAGAGAGACAATATTCTTGCTTAAAAGAAGCAAAGATTGCCTTGAAAAGAAGTTACATAATATTATTTATTGTTTTGAAAAGCAAAGTGGTAAAAATCCACTGTTCCTTTCCAATTGTTTCAGAGCATTCATTTTGTTTTAGAAAGTAAATCACTTGAGACACACTCCAACTTTAGGGCAATGGTTCTCAGGCTTTTTAATGCCGCGACCCTTTAATACAGCTCCTCATGTTGTGCTGACCCCCAACCATAACATTATTTTCGTTGCTACTTCATAACTGTAATTTTGCTACTGTTATGAATCGTAACATAAATATCTGCATTTTCCGATGGTCTTAGGCTCTACAGCAGCGGTTCTCAACCTGTGGGTCACGGCATTAAAAAGCTTGAGAACCACTGCTTTAGGGAAATTATTATGGGAGATGGGAAGAGGGTGGCTTTGATTTTGATAAATGAAACTTATGACATATAAACCATTTCACAGAACACAGAAAACAGACAGCAAATACTTGGTTGGTCTTATGGCCTTGGAATCACTTCCTTGGTTAGGAAATATGAATCATGGCATTAACGCATACCATGACATAAAAAGGGATTTAACAAAGAATTTATGGTTGTAGTTTTGCTTTTGACAGTGGACATGTTTCTGAAATTTATTTATAAACTGACATAAAAGGTCATGTTTTTATTATACTGCAAGTGCTTCTATTTATAAAAGAAAATTATGGCATAAAGAGAGCCTTTTGTTCTACTTTTTTTGTAATTTAAAGGGATTTTTTTTTTTTTTTTTTTTTTTTTTTTTGTAGCACAATGACACAAGATTGCAGTGGTACTTTTTATGAACAAACTGGAAGGGAATGAGTATAGAAAGCCAAAATCATCTTCATTCCAAATATTAATTTGACTTTAAATCGATTCCAAAGTAAATTAGGAAGTCCTATTTTTCTCCTGTCTACTAATTCTCACAAGAATAGTGTGCTTTCGGGGAAATATGAATTTTTAATGGGATTTCATGAAGATTAAAAAATGTATGTTTTCAAATGAATGAATATTTAATGGCGGAGTTTTGGGTGGTGGAGGAAGAGTTTTGAGTGGTGGAGGAAATGTTTTAGGTCTCGGGGAACCGTTCTTTAACTTATCGATAGAACAATATTTTCTGAGTTGGTGTGTTAGTGTGCATGAAGAATCAAGTTTATGAAACGTTTCTTTTTTATCTTTTCAGTGAAAGAAAAGCCTATAATAACACATTGTCCTTTTTTCAACCTAGACCCTAGGTGTTTAGAAGACCTAAAACCTGGAAACTGTGCTGAATATGTGGTTCGATGGTATTATGACCAACAGGTCAACTCTTGTGCCCGCTTTTGGTTCAGTGGCTGTAATGGCTCAGGAAATAGATTCAACAGTGAAAAGGAATGTCAAGAAATCTGCATTCAAGGATGAGCAAGTAGGTCTACTTGTAATGAGTCAAATCTACATCTCTATCAACAAGTCTAGAAAGAACCTCTATAATTTCAATATGAATAAACCACCATGTTTGATTGTATACTGAGTATTTGCAATTTATAAACATAATTGAATCCTTGCAACCACACTAGGATGTACGTGTTATTAATCATTTTTACAGATAAAGAAGTGGAGGCTCTGGCTTTAGCAATTTGTCAATAGTCACCCAACTAACAAATGACAGGCTGAGGGTTTGGCTTAGAGCTGTGCAAACTCAAAACATAGGCCTTACTATCTACTTCACAACGTGCAATGTGGTTTCAATTCCTGTTCTTTCCTATAATACATTAAACACCTTCCCCAGCCCAGTCCCCTATTCCTCCCTGGTCCCTGGTGCCTTCTATCCACTTCAGTCCCCAAACCTCTCACAGCCCTGACAGTAGCAAAAAGATAGGAAGGTGGTAGAAAGGACTAGAGTTTGGGAATCAGAAGTGATGGGAGTAGGTAGGAAGGGACGAGATCAGAAAGATGTTTTGCTTGATGGAAACCTAGAAGATGGGATGGTTCTGAGATGAGAGGTACTGGGATAAGAACTGGAGTAGTATAGTTAGATTTTTGCCTCACTTGCTCTGAATCTAAGAATAAAATGACTTAACAGAAATGGATTAACAACTGTTACTCCCCACTCCTCCAAGATATTTGGTAACAAACCTTCATTGTGTGTTTAAACTAAATGTTGAAAATAAAAAGAATAATTTAAACAAAGGAACTTTTCTCACCCTTCCTTTAAAATAGGTAAATGTGACTTTCAATTTTAGGGGGATGGGAAAAGAAGGCACGTGACAGCCAAGAACTACTTAAAGCCCATATTGTCTCTTTCTCTTTCTCTCTCTATTGTTTAAAGTCTTACATGTCTCCTTTTTTCCCTGATTAACACTCCCCTGACAGTGTCTGTGTCCCCACTGCCCCAATGTTTGTGTCCAGTGGTCATGCTAATATGCATCTACATCCTCTCTTGAGCAGGATATTGTACAGATAGGTCTTATGCTGAAAAATGAGCCGCCAAATTGAAGTATGACCCAACAGAGTAATAGAGAATTGGCTCTATCATTTTATAATAATTTTTTGACATCCAGTCTAGGAAGATCAGTTTTGAGCTAAGCTCAGACAGCACTTGTATATATATCATCTCACAACACCCTTTCTTCTTCTTCCAGGCCTGTGACCCTCATTCAAGGTCAGTGGTACAGAAAAAACATTCAAGGAAGGAGGTGCTGAAGAACAGCCATCTTAGCAAAACTAATTTTGGGTAGTTTGATAAAATTGTTGATGTAATATTTAATACTACAAAAGAATACATGCAATATACTTGTGAGTAAAAATGTGATAAGATGAACACTTTACACAGAGAATGATCAAACATAACCCATTCTGTTGAAGCTTCCTGTGTAAACCTCTACCATCCTAGCTCCCTATTTTCTGCCAGGGATATTTCATCTTGAATTTTGTGTTTACCGTGTCACTTTGCTATTGGCTTTTATATGTAATTTTACATGCAAAACCACATATATACCTATGTATCTCTAAACAATACACAGTCTTGCTTATCTTAGGACTTTATAAAAATGGTGTCATACTCGTTTTTGCAACTTGCTATTTTCATTCAATATTATCATTAATCCATATGTCTTACCATATCGTGTTCCTAAAAATATCTAAATGTGTTTCCAAGAATTTATTACTTAGGTTTTTTAAGCTTGATAAAATTTGTTTTATAATTCTTTGCAACTTGGTATGCTATTACATTATAATTTATAAACATTCATTTACTTTTATAGTTATATAATATTTGTGTGAACATATCACAACATATTTAACCACTATCCTGTCTATAGTCAATTAAATAGTTTCTATCTATCTATCTATCTATCTATCTATCTATCTATCTATTTATTTATTTTACCATTTTAGCAGCATTGCAATGAATGCTCCTATATATGGCTTTGGGTGCACATGCAATAGTATTTTTCTAGGACCTATACCACAAAATGAAATTGCTGGGTTGTAGAAATGTAAACATTCAAAAATAATATATCATAGCCAACCATTTATTTTCCCATGGTGTTTGAACCAATTCACTATAAACTCTCACCAGTGTGCATAGAGTTTCCATTGCTTGATGTTCTTATCAACACTTGAGTATTGTCAGTCTTCTTTTGCTAATATTGGGTAGAAAATAGTATCTTTTAAAAATATATTTATTATTGATTTTTTATAGAGAGGAAGGGAGAAGGATAAAGAGTTAGAAACATTGATGAGAAACATCAATCAGCTGCCTCCTGCACACCTCCTATTGGGGATGTGCCCTGGACCAGAATTGAACCTGGGACCTTTCAGTCCACAGGCCAATGCTCTATCCACTGAGCCAAACCGGTTAGGGCAGTATCTTGTTTTTTGTTGTTGTTGTTATTATTGACAGTATTACAGATGTCCCCCATTTTTACACCACCCTACTCTAGACCTTTAACTCACTATTGTCTGTGTTCTTGGGCTATGCCTGTATCCATATAAATTCTCTGGTTAATCTCTTCTCTCCCCACCCCCTTCCCTCTGAGATTCCTCAGTCTGTTCCATGGATCCATGTCTATAGATCTATTTTGTTCATCAGTTTATTTTGTTCTTTAGACTCCACAGATAAGTGAGATGGGTGTTTGTCCCTTTGTCTGAAACATCCTTTTCCTCCTTCTGTGATGACCAAATCCTAATACTTCAAAGACAATTTGCAGGCCTCCCTTCTCCTTTGTGGTACTTTTTCACCAGCTGGGCCATGCCCAATACTGAGGACCCAAAGCACTTGGTTTATGCCTCCATTCTACCCTTAATCTGAAATGACTTGCATTTAGTGGATACATATGTCCCTTTGTGGTGTAGGTAACTATTTAAAGGTTCCGGTGACTAGGGAATGGGTATTGTTGCAACAGTTATGCCCTTAATCACAGCATCTGTATTCTCTGCCAGCACTCTGATTTAGGAGCAAAAACATATCTTATTTGTCTCTGTGTACCTAGCTCAAGGCACATAGGAAGAACTCAATACATTAAAAAATATATATTAGAACTCACTTTTTTTTATTACACAAATAGATAACTACTTGGATGAAGGGAACAGAAAAAGATCAGAAAAAAATCATACCCGTTTAAAAGGAGAAAGAGAAAAATGGTATGTTAGTGAGTAAAACTATTATTTTCTCTCATCCACTTTGAGATTCAAAGTACCCCCACCCCTTCTTCCCCATCATGATTAGCAAAACAAAGAGAAAAGTCTGAGGGAGTGTTGTCTAGCTAGATAAAGGATCCAAGAGGCGGCATGGAACAATCTGAAAATCAATTCTGGAAAAGAGAATGATGATTTATGTTTTCCTTCTTAGCTAGTTAAAAAGCCAATAGAACTGGAGGAGATATTTGACATTTTATTCTTCTATTCTTAAAAGAAAAAAAAAAGATAGACTATGTACAAAATGCTCTGTAAATAATGTGTATCTAAAGAAGTCTCCATTTTAATTTACATTGAGAAAGTTTTAATATTTTATCAAATACTAATGTTCAAGAATTTTAACGGTGATCCTAGCTAGTTTTGTTCAGTGGGTAGAGCATTGGCCTGCAGACTGAAAGGTCCCAGGTTTGATTCTAGTCAAGGGCACATACCTGGTTACAGGCTGGATCCCCAGTAGGAGGCATGCAGGAGGCAGCCAATCCATAATTCTGTCTCATAATTGATGTTCCTATCTCTCTCTCCTTTCCTTTCTGAAATAAATTATACATATACATATACATATATATATATATATACATATATATACATATACATATACACATACACATACATATATGTGAATTTTAACAATGAACCCACTCCAATGAAATGTTAAAATATCTTAAGTGATCAATTCTGTCATTTTCATTCAGTTGAAACAGCTTTCCCAACTGTAAGAAAAGCTCTAATCAGGGGTCTGAAGAGCATGTTCACTGTATTTCACTGTATAAAATGACAATTAGGCTTGGTGATTTTAAACTTAATGTTTTTCCTAAACACAACAAAATGAGAGAATGAAAAAAAAATATTTGCAAGCAATATGTAACAGAATTGTTTCATGATGCTAATAAACGAAGAGATGCCATAAATTAAAAAGAATAAAAAGGAAAAATGATAGAGATTGTCAATTCAAAGGAGATAACCCTATGAAGAGATGCTCAGCTTCATTAACTGCAGAGAAATGCATGCATGCTAAGTAGGTCTGGGATGTGGCTGGAACACACACGGGGAAGTCTGCTGAGTAACCCTGGCTGAAAACCAGCAAGGAGACCTCTGCATTATACTAACCTTAGCAGAGACTCTACTACTTGACTATTTCACTTGGAATTTTAGGTGTTCAGTTATTTATGCCCCCTTTTTCTATAAATCTATAATCTGATGGCTTTTGTGAGTAGCAATGCAAAGATGGATTAATGCTGTTGAAGTGTTCAAGATTTCCCCTCTTCTTATATCTTATCTTATAATTATCACTAAAATAAGACATGTTGTAGAATGTGTGTGTGTGTGTGTGTGTGTGTGTGTGTGTATGATCATCAAAACAATAGCCCCAAATCATATTTTACCCATATATTTATGGTACTTTGTTTTTTTTTAAATATATATATTGAACTGATGGGAATTTTAAAGGCATTATTTTTTATCAAAACATTTGAAAAATTCTTCATTTAAACAGTTAATTTAAAGCCACATCAGACAGCCTGGCCTTCATGGCTCAGTGGTCAAGCATTGACCTATGAACCAGGAGGTAACAGTTTGATTCCTAGTCAGGGCAGATGCCCAGGTTACAGGCTCAATACTCTGTGTGGGATGTGCAGGAGACAGCTGATCAATGATTCTCTCGTATCATTGATGTTTCTGCCTCCCTCTTCTTTCCTCTCTAAAATCAATAAAAGTATACTAAAAAT